TTCAATTTTCTTGTCCATTCCTCCTTAAGGTGTGTCAACCCTATAGAATGACTATATAACCTCGGCCCCATATACCCCTACATGGCCCTAATGTAGTTCCCGATCAGCATAACAAGGACATATGTTGAGCCTGAGCTGGCTTAGTGGCACCATGGGCTCAGCTCCGCTGTTTGAGCTCCGTGAGCGCGAGGACACCTGACATGGTAAACACCGTAGCTCCCCACATTACTACTGGGCGGGGGGTATTTTGGGACCAATACCAGGATCCGTTCTTGCCTGCATTAGACACCAAAACCATTTGAAAGCACTGCACTCCGAAACTAACATACTCTCATCATTCTGCCTCCTGTGAGCGAGCTCGCGCTTGCTTTGAAGCTGCTGAAGCCGTTCCTTTCAACCACTACGAACAATCAGAGCACATGGAGTAGATGCAAGATGATGCAATCAGTTCATAGCTTTTCAGTAAGTGCATCCGCATTCGGCCTCCACTTGATGATCTGCCATTTGCAGCAGCGGCTTTGCTTGCCTTTCCGCGTAAAGCGCATACTAGCCACCCATCCTGCTGAACAGTATGTGCGTGAGGAAGCGACCGTGGTTGCAGTCATGGTTGCTGCGCCGTTCCGGCGCCTGGCCTAGAAAGTCGATTTGCCATTTTGGAGACTTATGCTCGAGCAGGCGCGCAAGCCAAGATCTGTTCCGATAAGGCAGATCCGTCAGAGCCGTTGTCATGCTGTGATTGCCTGTGCGCAAAACTCTCTTCTCAGTGACTTCTCAGCGAATAGAAGACTGATAGGTGGCACTGGAGGCAAAATATCTGGCTTGGCTTGGATGCCTTGAGCTCCCAAGGTGGATGGTTGCGGCAAGTCCTTGCAATTTTCTGATGTACACTCACTGTTCACTATTGACGAAAGCACGATGCCCATTGAACCGTCCTCGACTTTCGCTTTGGCTTTTGCCGCCTAGACCTGCAAGCTGAAACAAAAGCATGCCAGCAACTGCCACAATGGTTGAAAAGGGTGTGGGTGCAGTATTCCAAGTTCCATGTTGAAGTTTCTGGTGAAGATAGATGGGGGTGTGCCGAAAAGGGGGGT